CCAAAATGTGGAAAAACCCAAATGTTCATCAACTGGTGAGTAAACAAAAAGTGGTATATCTATATAATGGAATATTACTCGACAATGAAAAGGAGTACTGATACATGCTACAACATAAATAAAACTTGAAAATATTACATAAAGGGAAAGAAGCCAGACACGAAAGGACACATGTTTTATGACTCCATTTATATGACATGTCCAGAATAGGCAAATCCATAGAGACCAAAAGTAGATTAGTGGTTGCCAGGGACTTGGGTAAGGATTCCTCAGCTCGGGAGTCACAGCTAGTAGGTATGTATGGGGTTTATTTTGGGAGTGATAAAAATATTCTAATATTACATAGTGGGTAATGGTTGCAAAACTCTGAATTGTATACTTTAAAAGGGTGCATTTTATGATATGTGAATTATATTTCAATACAGATGTTATTAAAAAACACCCCCACAAAAGTGCTATGTATTCTCCTTTTACTATTTAAACACCCAAAAAACTAAGGACAAAATCTCAGGATCAAGTACAGACTTTTAAATTTGATTTTATGAAAAAACTTATTATACTTCCACATTTCATCATAGACAGGTGACAACTTTGTCAAATGTCTTAGACCCAGCAGACATGGATATTTAAGTGTTTTAAAGTGGTGTTAGGCCCGGCCATCGTGGTTCAGCGGTTGAGCATTGACCTATGATCCAGGAGATCAAGGTTTGATTCCTGGCCAGCACACATGCCCGGGTTTCAGATTCAATTACCAATCGGGGGCCATGCAGGAGGCACCCGATCAATGACTCTCTCATCATTGATGTTTCTATCTCTCCCTTCCTCTTCCTTCCTCTCTCTAAATATATATATTTATTTTTTACACCAAAGAAAAATTTTCTTGAAGTATAGATTGCTCGTTATTTAAAAATACATAGGAAAAGACAAACATACAAAGGCATTATCATACCACTGATTTCTAAAGTCTATACTTTTGAAATATAAAACAATGACAATTTATCCCCAAGTCAGTTTATTGAAAATTTAAAAATTTATCTTTTTAAAAATTTATCTTTACTGTTGAAAGTATTATAGGTGTGTCC